AAAAATAGAGATACTAAAAAGACTTAATGCAAAAGAATGCTACTATTGGTAGTAAAATATTAGAAATTTAAGAATACTATTGAAGACAAGATAATACCAAAGTGATTCAAAAATATAGAATATAACTAGAGTTAAAAAAATACCAAAGTAATTTAAAAAATGCTACTAGCAGAAGAAATCTCAAGAATAAAAAGAATTTAATTAAAAAATTTTTTATTTAATTTATTTTATTTTAGATAATAATCAAGAAGCTACACATCTTATCTAATAATCTGTATTTAAGATATATCAGAAGCAAGTATTAGTCTAAAACACAATATATATATTAATTATTTTGAAATTAGTATTAAACTTGTTTTTTAAGATTTTTATAATAGCTAGTAGAGCTTGTTTTTTGTAGTATTTAAAAGCCAAAGAAAGTGGTAGCATTATATTAATAAAAAAATTAAAATAAATACTTGTATAAATAAGAAAATTGTTGCTAATTAATTTATATTGTAATGATTAATTTTATACCACCCTTAAAAGAGATATGAATTTAGCCAGATAAGTAGTTATTTAATAATATGAGATTGTAAATATACATAACAAACCTATTTCTTTTATACTATATTAATTTTACTAAATATACTAAATATGCTAGATACACTAAATATGCTAGATATGCTAATTATGCTAAATATACTAAATACACTAAATATGCTAAATATGCTAAATATTCTAAATCTACTGAATCTACTAAATTTGATATTACTGTTATATGCCAAATCCAAACAAATATATGATCAATTATTCAATTTGGTCATAATATAATAATGATCAATTTGAAATCATAACAATATATAAGGTATTTAATAGCTTTTTCTTTAAAAAGCTAGTAAATATTGTAGTTTTGTATAGCATATTAGTTATATATCTTGAAATATTTTTTAAAATATTCTTTTTCTTTTCTAAAGCTATATTTTACTAAGTTAAAGTTTTGTACTTGTTTTTTTATTAATTTTCTTAAAAGGTTAATTAGTATTTTTTTGAAAATATAGTTTTGTACATACTATTAATAAAAAATATAGAGTAATCTAATATAAGTTTTTTATTTTTTATTTTTTGAAGATATATCTTTTTTGATTATTTAAGCATATTTTTATAAAGAGTATTAGATTATATTTGTTATATTAAATATTTATAATATAATATAATATTTAGTTAAAACTCTATAACCAAAATATAACCAAAATATAAAATACAATAAAGTTTACTCAAAAAGCAAAGAAGATTAGTTCAAGAACTAGAATCTCTATTATCAAATCTATAGCTAATTATGCTTATTTATATAACTATAAATTTTACTTATATTATTCAATATCTTCTTTTAAAGTTCTTAAAAAATTTTCTTTACTGTTTTTAATTAATAAATAATTAAACTTTGAATGAAGATATCTTGGCAACCACTTAAGCAAATTTAATAATCTTTTTTTATTTTAATTCTATATTTTTATAGAATTAAAATAAAAAAATTCATTGAATTTGCTTGGGTGGTTTCCGAGATATAATCAGTTAAAATTGTAAAAATATTTGATGTATGTAAGGTTATACAAAACTGATATATGCAAATAATTGCTGTTAAAAAATTTATAAAAATTAAACGTATTCAACCTATGTAATCAATAATTTTACCTATTATTTTATCAATATTCAGATAATTTTAAAAATAATATACTATTTAATTACAATAATTTGTTTATAAAAGATTATACAGAGTTTGTTTAGATAGCTACTACAAAAATAAAATTTTAATTATTATAAAATTAGCATAATATATTGTAACCTGTTATAATAGAAAATATGATCTGATTTTAAATATATAACCAAAATTATGAATTAGAATTTGTAACTTGAACTACAGATTGAGAATTTTTAATATTTAATAATTAGCAGATAAAATATAGATATTATCTCAGCAACCAATTAAGCAAATTTAATGATCTTTTTTTATTTTAATTCTATATATTTATAGAACTAAAAATAAAAAAATTTATTGAATTTGCTTAGGTAGTTGCTAAGACATCTTCTCTTAAAGTTTGCAAAAAATTTTCTTAATGTTCTTAATAGATGTTTAAATCTTAGTCAAACTTTAAGAGAAGATATCTTGATAACACCCAATCAAATTTGATGTTTTTTTTATTTTAATTCTATAAAAATATAGAATTAAAATAAAAAAAATTCATCAAATTTGTTTAGGTGGTTGCCAAGATATTTTTTTTAAAGTTCTTAAAAACTATTCACAATTAATAGATGTTTAAATCTTGGCTAAACTTTGAGTAAAAATATCTCAATAACTATCCAAGCAAATTCAATGATTTTTTTTATTTTAATTTTAGAAAATTTTAATTTGGTACACTATGTACCGTGGTGCATCTCTGATCACGGGGTATAAATAGTGATCATCAACATTGTATTAAATATATATTTTTTTTAGTAATAACTTCAGATTGTCATTGCTGTTGTAACGTTGTTACCAAAATTTTTGCTTGGAGTTGATGTTGTCATCGTTGCAAGAACCGTAGTTTGGAGTTAGTGTCATCGTCATTGCCGTAACCATTGTTTGAAGTTGGCATTGTAGTTTCAGCTTTATCATTCATACCCTGGTGAATTGTATCACTGTTGCTGTTAGCTATTGGTGGGAATTTGTGTATTGTTATTTGGTACTTTGGTTAGATATCACTTCTTGTATGTTGGTAATATCGGTCTTGGTTGATAAAGCTATCTCTAGACTTATTTCTGATATATCATTATACTACAATATTGAATAATGTTGATAGGTTAGGTTAGTTAGGGTTTGAATTAAGTATGTGTTATTCTTGTTTTCTTGTGAAGTGCATTATTAACAGGTGTTCTTTTTTCTCTAGGATGTTCATGTAAATTATAGGTATTTAGGCACATGTTGAACATTTGACTTGTGAATCCTGGAAGTATGATTTAAAAGATTTGTTCTTGATTTTTCTTGTTTATGAATATATTATTAATGCTTCTTTTGTTTCTAGATTTTTAGATCATCTTTGGGCTTTCATAGGAATAGTGGAGCATATGACTTGTGAATTAGGAATGTATAGGTTTATTTTTGTTATTGCTTTTTGCCTTGTGAATGCTTTACTAATGCTTCTTTCAGTTACTAGATTTTTAGACGTTTTGGGCTTTCTTGGAAGCTGTGAGCGTATTACTTGCGAATTCAGAAAGTATGGTTTTATTTGATCTGAACCTATAGTTTTATTTTTTTATTGTTGCTTTTAGTAAATGAGTTACTAATGCTTCTTTTTGTTACTAGGTTTTTTAGAGTATCTCTGGGTTTCTTGAAAGCTGTGGAGTATATAATTTGAGAATTTAGGATATATAGTTTCAATTTTTCATTACTGCTTTTTGTTTTGTGAATGTTTACTAATAGTTTCTTTTTTTTAAGTTTTTAGAATATTTTTGGCTTTCTTGGAAACGTATGATTTCATTTTTTCATTGTTGCTTGTTGTTTTGCGAACATGTTACTAATGTTTCTTTTTACTTCTAGATTTTTTAGGAGTATCTTTAGACTTTCTTGGGAAATGTGGATCATATGAATTGCGAATTCAGGACGTATGGTTTTATTTTTTTGTTATTGTTTTTTGTCTTGTAAACATGCTACTAACGCTTTATATTTTTTCTAGATTAGGCAGTTTTTGGGTTTTCTTGGAAACAGTTTTATAGTTGCTATTTCATCGCTATTGTTAAAGATGCCATTTTTTTCAAGTAATTAGAAAAAGGAGCAAAGTGGGAGTGATAGCCAAAACTACAGGGTGAGCAAAGCAAGTCTTGTTGTGTTGCTGAGTGTAAGCAAACTGTATTGGATATAATAAATGAGTATATAAGATGAATATTTGTGCGAAGCTGATAGTATAGTTAAATCATGATACTTGAGATAAATTAAATGATTATTCGAATGTTGTAATAATTTGATCATTTTCGCATTAGTAATATTTTTTTAATTAATACGTAAATTCTAATGAAAAAAGTGTAATATTACCATCATATGTCAATCACATCGATCATATTGATCATGTGATGTAAGGGATATACAGTGGTGCAGATACACTATTTTATAAAATCCTTAATTTATATTTTTATAGAATTAAATAAAAAAAATTCATTAAATTTTCTTAGTTAGTTTCTGAGATATATTCAGTTAACATTGTAAAAATATTTGATATACATAAGATTAAACAAAATTGATGTATGCAAATAATTGCCATTTTTTTAAATATATTAAATCAAGATATAAAGCTTCAGTAATTGTATAATTCTTTTGTAACAAATATAATTATAAAATTGTATTAAAAAATAAAGATCTATAATTTCTTTTCAAGACAAACTATATTGATAACATATAGCTATAATCTAACAACTATAATTATAATAAAATTATAATCTTTGTATTTATATCTTCTTATATTAATATAATTGTAAATACTAGTAGTAAAACAATTAAATAAATATAATCTTTAAGAAATACTTCAAAATAAAATTACAAATAGTTAAATTCTTATCAATATTAATAAAAAAGATGGTTATTAAAGAGTTTTCTTTATAAACAAATCAATATTATGATTAGAGATTCTTACTTAAAGTTTTTTAAATATTTACTGTTTATTTTAAGAATTTTTGTAATAAAAATAAAATATAATACAATCAATATCTATTTATAAGAATTAAAAAAACACATAACCATTCTTTTTTTAAACCAGTAGACCTTATTGTGTATAACATTATATATGACTAACTTGTAATATATGTTTAAGCATATCTTCTCTACACAATAGTGTGTGCAAAGCATAGCATATTCATTTCTAATAAAAAATTTGTATTTAATAACCTAATTGCATATTATACAAGAAAAATACTGTGTATATACAGAGATATAAACAAAAGATAATAGATACCATATGTGCTGAGCATATCTTCCCTTATTAATAAAACATTCATGTTTCATGAAAAAAATTGTATAGAAACTCATTAATCATGAAAAACACTGTGCATACACAGGATGAATGACAGACCTTTAAACCATAAAATATGATATATTCATTACTCAAAAATATGTAAATAAAACACTGATCTTAAACTATTCTGTATCAAAAATACCTTATTAGCTTCTTTTGAATTAGGTTCTAAGTTCTGTATTAGAGCATTTAAATCATTTACTAAAGCTTGACGTGACTCAGTTTTCATTACTTCTGGATTTTTTCAAAATAGTAATGGTTCCATATATCTTCATTCTTCCATTTTGAGTATGGTCTTTCCTAATAATCTAACATGCGGCATAGCATTAGATCATTAGGTATTATTTTGGCAATAAAACAAAATCATTTATCACGACTATTGACTTTGGAAAATAAGATTTGTTTTCTGACATAAAAAGTTCAAAAATAATATGAACTAAAGGACGAATCACTCAAGTATATATTAACGATAAAAATGTGACAAAATTTTAACTCTAGTATTCTATTAAAAGTCAGCTACTATATTTTAACCCAAGAAGTCGGTAACCAAATGTTGAACCCGATTTAGGTTCAATTTCTGGATATACGACCTAAAATTTGGGCCAGTGTAACTGGGAGCCGGACATTTCCGAAAATTCGTAGAGTATAGCTTGAAGGCTTTCACTTCACTCCACTCAGCTCCAGCCAATAATATTTGCATCAAAGACATTATCTATTAGTGTTGTAGTGTATTATTAAATATCACGGATAAGTCAAGATATTATGCGCACAACCGCAATGGTGAATGATATCAGGATATTTAAAGATATCGACGACAAATGTGTATAATAACACTCATGACTTTATAATTGCCTGTTCAGCAAATAAAATTTCTTTCTTTGGAGATTGTTTTTCTTGTTATTTAATACTTTGCAATTTAATTTTAGAACATAAAATTTTGTGACGGAGCTTTTATTATTAACATGTTTAAGAGCAGCTTTATGCTAAAATAATTTAAAAAGTAAAGCGATTCGTTCTAGACATCCAAATGCGCAAGTCATTCATTATTATTAAATTTATATAAAAAATTATAAATAATCTGATCATCACTAAATTCAAAAAGATTTGATTTGCATAGTTGACCGAATACTCTAGTGCATCATTGACGTGCACTTCTACATGTTTTCATGTACACTTTTATGTGTAGTATCGTATCTTTTTACATACTTTCCATATATTTTTCCTTACAATTGCATGTTTAAATTTTTTCGTTTTTTTTCAATAATTGATTTCCGTGTGGTGATTGAATTACGCGATTCATCTATACAGAATTACATAATAGTACGTGCATTTCGGTATATTAATTGTTTATAGTGTTTTATAGATTCTCTAAATCAAGAGTTAACAAGAAGTCTCGCTTGTGAACGAAGTCACAAGACGATACATTATTGCGAGTCACTGGACCATGCAGGAGCTATGAGAATCTTAGCATCTCTCATGCGTAAAGTGAGAATAAGCATATGATATCTGCATTTTAATCAAAATTTTGTATGCATAATGATGTAAGATCGATTTGTAAGAAGTTCTTGTTTTTCGCTGCTCGACATTCGTGTCCAGAATCAAAAAACGCTAAATGAAATGAATACTGCTCGTTCAAATAGAAATAATAGGTTCCATGACGAACAATAATAATAACAAATGATTTGCTTTAATAAAAATTTATTGACTTCATTATCAATTCATCAAAGTGGTAAAAGATCTGACCGGAAAATTTTGAAAAAGACTAATACAAGGGTTGTATCTCATGGGCAAATATTTTCAATTCTTCTCATGCTTCTCCGATCATCCTCTGTATATGTAAATGATGTAAACTGATTTGATTAGGCTGTTTGTTTAGTTACTTCTCTTACCCGTAAAGCATGCATAATAAATCAGGATGATTGTTCCATTGTTTCACTGTGCTGTGTTTTAATATTTATAAATGTATTCATTTGGTTAGCGGCATTTTATAGACTCCCAAAAGATTAGCATGTGTCTGTAGATTATAAGGTAGTGCCTGTATTGGAATAGCGAACTGTATTTTCTCATGTGTTTTTCAACTTTGTTTAATAAAGTCATCTGATCAAGCAATAATAACTGATTTTGATAAAAATGGTTTTAATAAAAATCACAGTAACACATAAATCAGACAAAAAAACTTTAAAAACCTTATCATTACTAGAATATATGTATAACTATGTAACTTTGCTTATGATTTGTAATGCTACTATATTAAAGTAAAACAGAATACAACCGATTAAATTTCATCAAAGCAAAATAAATTCATTTTCTACAAATAGACTAATATAGCATGATAGAAATTTGTTTTTATCAGAATATTGTTACATAAATTTTTATACAATAAAATATTAGCGTTACGAATTTTATTGTTTTATTTCAATATTTGGGTTATTTGATTTTATTTTAAAAGTAATTTTAGTATAACGAATATCCAATTCCTTTAGAGTAGTATTCTTCCAAAGTGCATCAGCCAATGCTGTTCCTCCCTCAATTTTAAGTTCATTCACAGCAAGATTTAAAGAAGTCAGCGTGGTGTTCTTGCAAAGTGCGTATGCTAATGCTTTTCCTCCTTCTGATCCAATATTATTATCCCAAAGATTCAAAGAAGTCAGAGTGGTATTCTTGCAAAGCGCATCCGCTAATGCTTTTTCTCCTTCTGATCCAAGTTCATTATTCCAAAGGTTTAAATTTTTCAGCGTGGTATTTTTGCAAAGTGCATCTGCTAACGCTTTTCCGTCATCTGATCTAAGTTTATTCCAACGAAGAAGCAAAGATGTCAGCGTGGTGTTCTTGCAAAGTGCATCTGCTAATGCTTTTACTCCTTCAGATTCAAGTTTATTCTGACTAAGATCTAATTCTGTCAGTGTGCCATTCTTGCAAAGTGCATCAGCTAATGCTTTTCCTCCTTCCGGTCCAAGATTATTATTGTAAAGCTGTAAAAAAGTCAACGTGGTGTTTTTACAAAGTGCATATGCTAATGCTTTTCCTCCTTCTGATCCAAATTTATTCGAACTAAGATCCAGAAAAGTCAGCGTGTTCTTGTAAAGTGCACCTGTTAATATTGTTTTATTAATAATATTGGCAAGTGTTAAACATTTAAGATTTTTACTTGCTCGCAGAAACCTTGCAACCAATGAGCATTTGATAGCATTTGATATCCTTTATCTTTAACCCAATTTAAGACTCCTTCTGTCAAAGAAGGACTAACAGATGTAGCATATTTTTCGTATTCAAATAATGGCCTTGGATAATTTGGAAGATTAATTCTAAAAGGAATCAACTGAGCCTGTTCTTCAGTATTTAATGCTAAAAGATATATTCTTATAAGTCTTTTATCACTAAAATAATTTCTAGGTTCACTCCATAATATTGGTATAATAATTCTACACCAACGACGATTTACAAGAAGGCATGAAAATAAACTTTTATAATTATTTCGAAAATTTAGAAATATTTCCAAAAGGCATTCATTCGGTAACATTATCATTTTGAAAGGATTACGTATGAATTTAGTATAACGGTAAAAAAATCGGATTTTGCCTCCGATACCGATATATACGTAACGGTAACCAATGTAAAATGTTGTGAAACATTGTAATCCAACAAAGCGGTAACATTTTTATAGGTTGGAGCCTTAATTGTGAATTTCTATTTTTTATGTTCATAATTTCGTCTTTATAATCAATTTAAAAAAAATCCTTTGATAGCTTAAAAAATATAAAGCTAGTAGCAAATTATTAATTTTAGGATTTTATTATTATTTGGATAACGCCAAATAAAACAAGATTTCGATCATATAAATTTGGTAAGATAAAGGTCTGTATTTCTCCATTTCGGCGGATCTGGTCCTTTTTAGGTAAATTGTTACACGATATTTTGCTCATAAGTGACGCTCAAAAGTAACAAAGGACTTGTCACAAGTAATAAAAGAGCTTCTATTGTACTTAATCGAGATAAAAGACCAGTAAAAACCAAATAAAATGGGTATACTAAGTTATAGAAAGAAGCACTAACATTATTTGTTAAACTAGAACTGGATCATGTGGCGGCTTCGCCGCCGAAGTTAAGTATCAAGAAGTGTAATAGTATTATGGATTTGCTTAAGGATATTTAATTATTGTATTAAGTTGTGTATCTTATTATGTATATTCTCGATAGAAATAGGTATTAGTTGTTAATAAAAAAATTTATTGATATAAATTGTATTTAAAGTTAAGTGGAATGTAATAGTTAAGTTATAAATTTTGTTGTTATGATTAGAATAAAGGTTCAGTATTTTAATGAATTTGGAAGAATTAGTATTGTTTGCTGCAAATATAAAATATATTTTTTTATTGTGCTACTAGGACTACAAGTTGTTGTTACAATAGAATATAAATCAGCATTTAATATATATAACTTATTTTGTAATAATTATAACATTAATAAGATGTAAAGATTATGTTGTGATTTGCAAGCAGG